TCTGTGGAGCAGTGGACCAACTTGGGGGTAAGGACCAGGGATAAGAGTGATGGGGGCAGGCTGTGGCAAAGTGACTTCTGAGATACGGTGGGGGTCCTCCCCAGGGATGGGGAGGCCAAGAAGTTGAAGGGACATCATTCAACATCTCAGAGACCGTGTTAAGGCCTTTGGGGGCCGTGGTGGGTAGCAGCCAGGATGAGGAAGGACAAGTGTGCGCCCAATCACCTCACCTTGATTTGTCTATTGGTAGCACTAGTTGTCTTGCCTCTGAGTTGGAGACTGGGCACTCAAGGGCAGGGATGGGAGGGGACTTCTCACTATTTTTCACTGTACACTCTTCTACACCTTTTAGATTCTCAGCCACATAAATATGTGACCTTTTAAAAATGTAAATTAAAAATGCAGCCCTAGCTGGTTTGGCGCAGTGAATAGAGCATCGGCCTGTGGACTGAAAGGTTTGATTCCGGTTAAGGGCACATGCCCAGGTTATGGGATTGATCCCCAGTGGGGGGCGTGTAGGAGGCAGTCGATCAATGATTTTCTCATCATTGATGTTTCTATCTCTCTCTCCCTCTCCCTTCCTCTCTGATTAAAAAAATAAAGAAAATTTTTAAAAATGCAAATAAAGCCTTGGCTGGTGTTCCTCTGTGGTTAGAGCACCAGCTTGCTCACCAAAGGGCATGTACCTGGGTTGCACTTTCAATCCCCAGCTCCTGCTGGGGAGTGTGCAGGAGGCAACCAATGATGTTTCTCTCTCACTCTCTCCCCTTTTTTTCCACTTTCTCTTTAAATCAATGGAAAAAATATCCTTGAGTGAGGATTAAAAACAAATTTTTTTAAAAAGAGCAAATAAAAATTCTCTTCTCCCTCCCTCCCTGGGATCCTTTGGGGGACTGGTCATATTCTGGGGACTGGCCACGCTGGTGAGGGGAGGGGCTGCATGCACCTCAGCCAGCTCCTCAGTGTCCCACTCAGGCAAGCTGGCATCTCCTTCGCAGCTCAGGTACATTCTTTCTTTCTCTGTGCCTGCTGCTGCTTGCATGGTTCCCCATGCCAGTGGTAACGCCACAGTAGTCCGGCTATTATAGCTTCCCTTCCCTTCCCACAGGCCCCAGTCTGTAGACTCTGCCTCTTGCCATGTCTCCTTAGCCCACACCTCCACTACCATCACATCCTGGATATGGAATGTTGGCTCTTCTGATGCCTGCCTCTCCTGGTTTATCCTCCCCCTATCTCAGTCCCAGGGAGCTTCCTAAATACAAATCTTATCACACTGCTCTGCTGCTTAAATCCTCCTGAAGCCGACGGTGTTAGCGCTCTGCCCACATCCCCCTGGATGCCCCTCTCCATTTTCTGTGCATGACACTCCCCTCACTGTGCTTTCAAGGTTGACACCTTCGGTTCTTGGAGGATTGCCCTTGGCCTCCTGGAGCTCCTCTACCCCCTGGGCCACAGCATAACCAGTGACTGCCCCAGGCTGGGCTGCCCTGAGGCCTTACACTCCAGAGCTGTTTGGGTGACTGGCTTGCTTATTGGCCCACAGCCCTCACTCACCCACTGGGAGTACTTCCGTAATAGTATGTCACTCGGCATCTAAGATGAATCCCTCGCCCTGGCTGGTTTGGTTCAGTGGATAGAGGGTCAGCCTGCGGACTGAAGGGTCCCAAGTTCAATTCTGATCAAGGGCACATGCCTGGGTTGCGGGCTTGATCCCCAGTAGGGGGTGTGCAGGAGGCAGCCGATCAATGATTCTCTCTCATCATTGATGTTTCTCTCTCTCTCTCCCATTCCCTTCCTCTCTGAAATCAATAAAATATATTTTAAAAGAATGATGAATCCTTCAGTGGAAACATTGTCCACAACATAAAGTTCAAATCACCTGTCTTGACTCACCTTTCTCTCTGGAAATCTATTCCATATCACATCTAAATTTAACACACACCAAAGTTCTAGCTGTTCTGCCAGATTTTTATATCTTAGTACCAGCCTTTTTTTTAATTAAAAAAAATTAAACCTCTTTATTCCTCTCCCCCCATTTTTCACGTCTCTGGTCAATATCATTTCCTTTAACTCTCTAATGGAGCTAATTGCTTCCTTAGGGTACTGTGTATAAACTTTATTATAGGACCCATCTTGCTAAATTTAACTAGTCTTCCCTGGTGCCTAGCATGGTGTTTGTCACAGAGTAGGTGTTAAATGTTTTTGAATGGATATCAATTCCCCAAATGTCCTAAGACTCTCCACTATTGGGCTTCTCAGTCTTGAATCTCTTCTACCTCCAATCAAAATTCACTGTCCCTGCTTCATTCTCAGAGCTCTGTACTCTATTGCGTATGTTGCTAAGATTAATTCTTGTCAGAGGAAAGCAGGATGGTGGACTATAAAGAACACTGTTCCTTCTGGTATCTTGGATACCAGAAACTCAAAGTCTAACTCTGTGTGGTGTGGACTCTTGGAGGCCCAGTTTGCTCACTTCTTTCACTAAGTGGAAGATGTATATGACTTCTAAGATCATCCAGGGCTGAAATGAAAGTCCTTTGTAGGCTGGGGCCTGGTCTGTCTTAGTCTCCATTCTCCCAACACCAAGAATGGCGCCTGATGCAGAGGATGCTCTTAAATATTTGTTGAGAGAAGAAACTATTTCAGTAGCTATATATTGCTTGGTGCTTTTAAAATATATATATATATATATATTTGTATTGCTTTCAGAGAGGAAGGGAGAGAGATAGAAACATCAACAATGAGAGAGAATCCTCCTGCACACCCCCCACTGGGGATTGAGCCCCCAACCTGGGCATAAGCCCTAACTGGGAATTGAACTGTGACCTCCTTGTTCATAGGTTGATGCTTAACCACTGAGCCATTCCAGCTGGGCTGCTTGGTGCTTTATAAGATATTCTAATTCCCAAAGTGGTAGAGTCAGCATTTATATGTAGATTTGGATGACTTTAAGATCATGTTCTTCCCAAAATACATTGTGGCCTTTAGGAGACAAGGCCATCACACAAGGATTTGTTCCATTGATGGCTTTTTAAAAAATATATAATTTTATTTATTTCAGAGAGGAAGGGAGATAGAAACATCAATGATGAGAGTGAATCATTGATTGGCTGCCTCCTGCATGCCCCCTGCTGGGGATTGAGTCTGCAACCCAGGCATGTACCTTGACCAGGAATTGAACCATGACCTACTGGTTCATAGGTTGATGCTCAACCACTGAGCCATGCTGGCCAGGCCCATTAATGGCTTTAATGGTGGCTGTGGAAGGGTGGAGAAGATCCTGAGGTCCTTATTCTTCTTACTACAGCATATAGGCAACTGCCTCTTCCCTCACAAACCTTGGGGGATAACAGGAATTTTTTTTTTTTTCACTGCTTGTCAAATGATCTTTAATTGAAACATTTTCCTTTGTAGTTCTTAACTAGTGGGACATTCCACTGCACCACTGTTGATATCATCTATGATGTCATGTGGGTGGCGGCCATCAACACTGCAGCCCTCAGACTGGGCAGTCCCCAGGATCTCTTTAATGGTTCCAGAGAGTTCTCTAGCTAAAGATCGGTGCCGCATCTGTCGGGCAATGCTGACAATCTCATCAAAAGTGATACTTCCACTGTGCTTAATGTTTTTTTGCTTCTTTCTGTCTCTTGGCGGTTCTTTGAGGGCTTTGACGATCAGGGCAGAGGCAGAAGGCACTACTTCAGTCTGGGCCTGTCTGTTCTGAATGGTCAGTTTCACTGTAATCCTCAGACCCTTCCTATCACCAGTTGCTTTGGCGATGTCATCACCAAACTTTTTTGGAGACAGGCCCAGGGGGCCGACCATGGGGGCCAGGGCAGACGTGGCACCCACTTCCCCACCAGTGCACCTCAGGTATACGACTTAGATTTTGTTGGGGTTGAACTTTGGCGGCATGGTGGAGGCAGCTGGTGTCGGATGAACCCGGATTCAGGACGACCGAAGAAAGCTGCACCTGAGCCTCCTCTGAGCCGAAAGGGAATAACAGGAATTTAAAGTGGTCGGTGGAAGTGGGTGAGTGTGTGGTGAGGAAATCTGATCAGTCATCTAAATGTGGTGCCTGGGCAAATGGTGGGGTTTAGGTACACAGTTCTAGCTATGTGCTGATAAGCCAGCTCTCTCTCTCTCTAAAAAAAGGCCCTGATTAATTGCTTTGTTGTTGTCTGTGGTATATATTCCCACTATGGCTGACTTCAAGCAACCACCATGCAGTCACTGACTGCAGACTTGGCAGAACTGGGCATAGTCAGCTCTCACAAGCCAGTGAGCTGCCGCGGCAACCAAATGAACAGTAAGCAGGCTGTCCCCAGAAAGCCACAGGAAGACTGCAGCTGCTGCAGATACTACGGGCAGCCGCGGGAGGCCTCAGCTCTTACCCTGCCTTTTCTGAAGACTGGCGTTGGTCTCTGCCCCTCTGCTTTACAGCCGCTATCCCTTTACCTCCATGGCCATCCCGGCTGCTGGCTGGAGGGCTCCCCACCGAGTGGCCCTCAGCTCCTCTTTGGAACACACCCTCTGTTGCCTTGCCTTAAAGGGCTCTTGCAATTAGTTCTCCACTAAGTAATTCAGGTGGTATCATCCCGAGAGGAAGGATGGGGGTGCTAGTTCCATCAGTTATTTCTCTGCCCCTCACTTGAATTCAGGCAGTACTTTCCTCCCAAATTCCAGAAAATCCTCAATTCTGAGGAACGTGCGCTCACTGGATCAGGCCCAGCTGGAAGCAGCAGGCATCTCTGAAGAGGGTGGACTGAAGGGGCAGGGAAGCAGTGTGAGACTGAGAAAGCCTGCTTCTGGTTGTGGAGAGGCCCACTCCCCAGCTGGGGCGTGAGAAACAGGCCTCTGGGCCAAGGGCAAGTGCCCCTGAGATGGACAGATCTGGAGGAAGGGGCCTTGTCCCAGGGACCGAACTCCATTTTGGGTACCTGTGAGTCTTTCTCTCAAGTAGTTAACAACTGGCCCAGTACAGAATCAGCACACAAATGTGTTGGAGAAATGAGAACTTTATTAGTACCAAGAACATTTTTCAAAACTTAAGCAAAAAGTAAAACGTAAGGACAAGGAAAACCAAGGCACAAAGAAGGACCTATGGGGCCCAGGGCTCACCAAGGACACACACACAGAGGCCTTCTCTTTGTATCAGGGGCACGTGGTGGGTGGGAAAGGCTGCCTGTTCCACTGAGCTGGGCTCAGCCGCCCAGTCCAAATGAAAAGACAAGCAGAGTGGCGGCCTCAGGCCAGGAGGATTAGAACTTGCTTGTGTAGAGGGTCATAATCCACTTGGGCATACGGAGGAAGCCAGGCAAGTAGGAGGCCAGCCAGCCCAGGCTGGTGGCTTGGGAGAGAACCGAACTCAAAGACAAATAGTCCTGGATGGGGCGGCCTGAGGACAACAGGAAGAGAAGGAGGATTAGACCCTCATTTCCCACTCTTTGGCTGAAGAGACTGACCGAGTGGGATGTGAGGGAGGAAGGAACGGGGTGAGCAGGAAACAGAAGGAAGAGAGGTCCAGGCTGGATGCTGGGCTAGAGCTCTTACCATCCACATCCCGAAGGCCATAGCGTCGAGCAAGGTCACAAGATGGCAGCACCTTCCCGCTCAGGCTCAGGATATTGGGGTCTGTGGGCACACATACAGCTGATATGGCATGGCAGTGGTGCAGGGTGACGAGGTTTGGGCCCAATGGGACAGGGCACCACTGAGACAGGCTTAGGAGATCAGAATTGTTTCTCTCTGTTCCTGAGCCTCTGGCTTCTGGCCATACCTCCTAGGAGCTAGTTCTTGAAGCACCCAATCCTCAAAAATTGGGAATCCTGACCCTGTGGGACTCCAGAAGCCAGAGAAAAGAATGGTTTATTCCCCAACCACCTCCTGAGCCAGGCCCCAGAACTGGCTGCCACCACCCTGCAGATAGTGGTTCTCAACCTTCCTAATGCTGTGACCCTTTAATACAGTTCCTCATGTTGTGGTGACCCCCAACCATAAAATTATTTTTGTTGCTACTTCATAACTGTAATTTTGCTACTGTTATGAATTGTAATGTAAATATCTGATATGCAGGATGTATTTTCATTGTTCGCGACCCACAGGTTGAGAACCGCTGCAGGCCCTTCTTGTTACCAGCTGCCCCCAACCACTTCACCTGTTGCCAAAGCCACCACGCATTTGCCACTCATTTCCGTGGTCTCCCCGGATGAGAAATTAATTTTGAGCTGAAACATAGGAGCAGAGAAGTGAAGGATTAATTTCCCAGAGCACTGCCCAAGTCTCTTCTCTGCTTTCAGCTTCTGTTCCAGAACAGAGGCTCTCATCACACACCTGTAGGACTCAGCATCTTGGAAGGTGCTGGAGCCATTCCTCCCCACATCCCTGTGAGCCTTGTACCCCAGCACCAGGACCCACTGTCTTTCCTAAGTGGAAGGATCTGGGAAGCCAACCATGTTGACCTTCTAGGATAGTACACTGTGGGGTCACGACCATGGGCTATGGAGGTGGGCAGTCTTTCCACTTAAGCCATCCGTGGCCTTAAGCAAGTTTCTTACCTCTCTGGGTTTGTTTCACTATCTATAAAAAGGAGATACTATCTCCCTTACAGGATTAGAGGACATTACGTGTGTACAGTGCTCAGCCCCATAATTTACTGCCACGGTAAGCACCCGGGTATTTGCTCCTTGCTGTTGTTACTGTCTTGACATTAAGGAGGGAGAGCTGATTCCCCTGCATTCTCTGCCACCCTCGGCCTCCCCTTGCCAACCTGCTTAAACAGATCATCCTCGCCAGTGTCATTCTTCTCCAAATGATCCCTCAGCAATTCTGTCTGCACCAACCCTGGCCAGAGAGACACGTAGCTGACCCCGTGGCGCCGCAGCTCCTGGGCACAGTCTGCAGCCATCCTGTCACACTGTAGAGACAGAAGGCAGGGTGAGAGCCAGGGCACTGGCCATGTCACCTTCCTCCCCTGCCCTCCCTGCTTCGGCTGAAGATGTCCCCGTCCCATGCCCTTCCTAGGCGCTCTGTCTCAGCTGGCCATCTCTCCCAGTACACTACTTACTCTGCCCAGCAGAGGAGCCCAGCTAAAGGAACTGTCCATGGAGAGGCAGGAGGAAAGGTGAAGTTGGCCTCCCACTCTGATCACTGGGGATTTAACTCCCGAACTAACTGGGTACCGTCACTATCCTATACAGCCCCAACCCCTGTGCCCCTGGATTCTTACCGCAGCTTTGCCCACGCCATAAGGAACATTGAAGAGATACTGCAGCCCCCCAATGGAGGAGATGACCACGATGAGCCCCCTGCCAGCTGGTACCATCAGCCGAGCCCCATACACTGAGCACAAGTAGTGGCCTCTAGAGGTGGGACAAGGAAGGAATGGACTGTGTTCAGTGCTGGCGAGGGTGCTGTAGCCTTGGCAGCTCCCTCTGCCCTCTAGTGGCTGTGGTCAGCCAGGAGAAGGCAGCATAGGGGTGGCCACAGACCTGAAGAACCAAGGGCTTGAGGCCACCTTCTGAGAGGAATACTGGTAAAATTAACCACTGAAGGAGGGAAATGGCACTCTCTAGACCAGTGATGGCGAACCTATGACACGTGTGTCAGAGGTGACAAGCGAACTCATTTTTTTGGTTGATTTTTCTTTGTTAAATGGTATTTAAATATATAAAATAAATATCAAAAATATAAATCTTTGTTTTACTATGGTGGAAATATCAAAAAATTTCTATATGGGACACAGCACCAGAGTTAAGTTAGGGTTTTTCAAAATGCTGACACGCCGAGCTCAAAAGGTTCGCCATCACTGCTCTAGGAGATGTAACGGAAGAGCTCTGTAATAATAGCAATTACAAACCTAAACTAGCTCGGGGGGAACATAGCTATATATAAGATCTACATGGAAAAACTATAAAGTGCTGTCTAATGTAAAAGAACAGGTATAGGCATAATTTATTTGGAAGAATTAACATGTAAAACATTAGTTCTACTTAAATTAATCTATAGATTCAGTCAATTTGAGTTATCCTATCTAATAAAAGAGCAATATGCAAATGAACCGTAATTCAAATTCTCCTGTATTGATTTTATTACTTTTATGTTACGCTTAA